TAAAAAGTTATCGCAGTTGTGGGAAATATTCCTTTTCATAAGGGAAATGAATGAGCCTGTGATGGCAATTCGAGGCAAAGCTTTTCACAACTAATTATACCAATCGAGTTGTGCATGTCTTTAAAGTATTTCTAAATAGTTTCGTTCATATATGTTAAAACTTAACTATATTTTTGGCCACTTTCTTATAGTAAACAGTCGTTGCTATGGCCGTTGCTACGTGAATAAACTTATACCACTCTGTACTTTCCTTAAATTTCACACTCATCTAGAAAAAAATTCGGAAAGATCATTTCAGAATGTTTTTGACAAGTCCTCAAGGGTCTTAAGTCTGGTATTTCCAAGAAATTGAATCTTTCATGAACATCGCCATATTTTAGGGTACCATACCCCCTTAATTCCGCCGCTCACTCAAGTCCGGTCTAAAGCACAGCGAACAGCCTCTGGTAATCAAGCATAAAGTTTTGCACCCATGTAGAGAATCTCTCTCCTCCGCAGAGGACCGAAATGTTCGTTACAAAAAGACCCCTTTGAGTCGAAGCTGTGTGATTGATTTCTTGGTCAGTTTCGTCTTGCCTTACCTTCGCGCGCGTCTCGCCCCCAGGATTTCACGCGGCCATTTTTTCTAAACCAGCGCCAATCTCGTTCCCAGAGCCCACGTGTCTTTTGGTCAGCGTCAAGACATGGAGCGCTGACCAAAAGACACGTGGGCTCTGGAAACGAGATTGAACCAACGCAGTTTTAAGTTCAGAGTTATGGCGGTGCGTGACATACCCCTCCGATCACGTTAGTGATTTTTTAGCCTTTTTAGGAGGTGTTAAGAAAAGTGCTTGTGTAAATGTTTGTTGGTTCAATTCAGATAATTAGTCGCTTAGATAGCCAAAGTAAGTTCCAGATGTTCACGCTATTTTCCGGCCGCCATGTTGGTGGAACACAGAGCTCCACCATCATGGCGACTCCATACTGGGCTCTGTAAATTTGCGCAAAACATTTCGACGAATATCTGAGGGTTGCGCAGAGACCCAAAACTTAGAGAAGTGTCATCTGATCTTTACCTATCTCCTGTAACATCAGATTTTCTTGACTTTACCCACTGAATAGTTTTCGATTTATTTTTTCGTTGCGTGACATTGAAAACCACCTATATAGCCTAATTTGGCGTATTAAATCCCGTTCCTGAAATCGTATATTTTCGTTTCTCACCCAGTACCTAAGCTTCTCAATAATCTTATAATATCGTGACTGTCATAGCTCACGCCCCCCTACAGCCCCTCCCTTGCGTGACTTCTTGTGTGACAAGGATTAAGCCAAGCCATCTCACTGAACGCATATCCCACTTCGTTGACTACCACCTTCAAC